ACTCTTGTTTGAACTTCTCATTTTATTTTTTTTTTTCAGAAGGGGTCTCCAGAACTAATTACAGTGTTGAATATATGGGCTCATCCTGGATTTCCTAAGTAGAAACACACTAGCATCCTCCTCATATTCAGTTTGGAATGGATCTTATCGTTTCCTAAAAAGTATTCAGCTACAGTTTTGGTTTTAATAAGAAATAAAATTGTTTCGTCCCCCCTCTTTTTTAACAATGGTGTATGCACAGTGTAAAACAAATGGCTTCCTATTCATTTGCAAGTCTCTGAGAAAAACTTAAGGGAAATTTAAGATGATTCTATGAACTCAGTGAAAAAGAGGTTTTAAAAATACTGCAAATTTCTTATATATATATGATAGATAAGTTTACAGAATATCAGTACCTCCTCTGAGAGTTTGTAGATAAAAATTTTGTATTGCAGGCATAATCAAGTGAAAAAGCTATTTCAGCCTGCAGAGACATTCCAGCATCACAATTTCAGAGCAAGGATGTTATACCTTTAAAGGAAGCCCTTCTCCCCATATCTACATAACATATATCACCCCCTTGTTACGCAAAGCTATGAACAGGTATTTTTATTGCTAGATAGAAGTGAAATTTTAAATAAATAGTAACACTGAATGAAAAGCACTTAGGAGTTCTTTCAATGACTAGATATGGGTTTAGTGTTTTCCTATCAAAAACTTCTGTGAGTAGAAACATACATTACCATTAGTTCCTTGAGGCAGAGATAAATAATAATTGCTGCCACGATTCACTATACTGTAATTTCTCTATGTGGTAAAGAAGCTGATTCTGCATTCTAGTTTCATAGAGAAATTCATATTTACTTTTTGTAATAAAGTATCCTAGCTTTTGTGAATTGCTAAAGCTTTAGCCCAATATTCAACTCTTGGTTCTAATTACACATTTTCTGGGGTAACAAGAATGGTAATGTTGCAGAGGAGAAGAAAAGAAACTTCCTCTAACATTCATTAAGGTTCCTGTTTAGGTAGCAAAGAAGAAAAATAAAAAAAGAAAAAAACATTAGTACTAATAAGGGACCTGGAAAGGAGGCACTGTTCACAACACAAAAAACCCAAGCTCATACGGGATCAGAATATTCTTTATTCTATCTAGCTTAAACAAAGTTTTAATGTATTTACATTACATTTTCAAATCATATACCTAAGTTGCAGACCTCCAAAATTTGCACATACAAGTTATTTTTATATCCATTAGTTGCTGCTGTTAAGTTCGCACACATTGAACCCAGAGACCCCTGTGTTGGCAGACCTTCTGTTCAGAGGTTCCATCACCTTTGTCTCATAAAACATGACCCTAGGCATGACCTCAGGCCAGGTTTACTGCCTACAAGGTATGCTGCCAACATCCTTGTCCCAACATGGTAATCCCTATGTGTCTCTGAAAAGGCATTGACAGGCAAACATGACCCAAAGACCAGTACAAAGCCTACATAGTTTCCAGTTCCTTTTTATTTTTCCGGTCAAACAGGTACAAGGTAACACTTTAACACTTGCGTTATCATTTAGATTTTCATATTCCCACCCTATCACAGGGCAGCCTGCCACCCTAAATGTAGCTTAATAAAGACACCTTTCTTCATTTTCACTTGGCTGTACCCAGACATATTAGCACATTCTCACACATGCAGCTGAGTGGCAACTTTATGAGGCCTACTTTGACAAACACTTTAGCAAAGCATTTATGCAAGTATGCATTCTAACAAGCTTTCCAGCAATCCCTTCACTTACACGCATCATTTTTCACATGAAAAAGGTAGTTGCACACATGTCAATGCATATACATCCAAAACTAATTCCCAATTACAAATCAGTAGAAATTTTAAGTTTTATTATTGGTATATTATACTCTTGGACTGTCCAGAATCTCTGATAATGCAGGCAGACAATACTGCACCCATATGCAAGAAATGATCCTATCCCTGCTTGGAAAGGAGGTATCACTGTACCCTGAGTCTCATGTTGGATTGCTGAACAGATGAGTATCAACAGTCCTTTCAGTGAAAAGAAATCTCCTCCCAATATCTCAGTGGTTCATAAAGCCCTGCAAGAAAGTAGTCTCAGGTTTTATAATCATCACTGCTATGTGACAGACATCAGACTGGATGTGCTCTTGTCCTGGTTTCAGCTGGGATAGAGTTAATTGTCTTCCTAATAGCTGGTACAGTGCTATGTTTTGAGTTCAGTATGAGAAGAATGTTAACAACACTGATGTTTTCAGTTGTTGCTAAGTAGTGTTTAGACTAAGTCGAGGATTTTTCAGCTTTTCATGCCCAGCCAGCAAGAAAGCTGGAGGGGCACAAGAAGTTGGCACAGGACACAGCCAGGGCAGCTAACCCAAACTGGCCAACGGTGTATTCCATACCATGTGACGTCATGCCCAGTATATAAAGTGGGGGGACTGGGGGCGGGGGGGAATCACAGCTCAGGGACTAACTGGCCTTCGATCGGCAGGTGGTGAGCAATTGCACTGTGCATCATTTGTATATTCCAATCCTTTTATTATTACTGCTGTCATTTCATTAATGTTATCATTATTAGTTTCTCCTTTTCTGTTCTATTAAACCGTTCTTATCTCAACCCACGAGTTTTACTACTTTTCCTTATTTTCTCCTCCATCCCACTGCAGGGGCGGGGGAGTGATCGAGCGGCTGCGTGGTGCTTAGTTGCTGGCTGGGGTTAAACCACAACAGCTCTTTCAACTGCCATCCTGCCCTGTTTGGAAACCCATATGCTGAGAAGACTCAGATGACCTTTCTGACATCTCCCATATATATGGTCCATGGGTAGAGGTTTTAGAGGATGCTGTCCAAAACCTTGATCATGACTCTGCTCGCTGTGGACTTACTCATCCCAAACTGGTCATTGAGCAATGGGAATCTAGGGTTATAAAACTCCAGGGGCTGAAACTTATTCTCTCAAACATGGTTGTAGGCTTATCTATTTCATCTAGCTACATGGTTCCATGGAACCACTACATGGTTCTGCTAAACAAGATTTGTCTCCCACAGCCCAGAACCCCTGGCTAACCAGGGACTAAACAGTTGCAACAATAAGGACTCGCAGAAATTCATTATCCCTGTCTTCTTCCTCAGATGACAAGACATCCAGAAGAGTAAAAAAAAAAAATCTTTTGCAATGTCTTCCTGGAGTACTTGTCCCAGACACAAGGTTACATGCGCCATTCTCTCCATATTTTGCCTCTCTGACTGATAAACAACTTGAAGGCACCAGGGCTCACTTGTAGATTAGCAGGCACAAAATAAGCAGAAAACAGAAACAAGGCTTGCTTCCTTGTGTGAGGCCACATGTAATTGTAAAGGCTGCAGCAACATGCTACCATTATGCATGCGAGCTACAGTGTGGTATTTCATAAAGGGGTCCACTGGAAGCTCACAGTCCAGAAAGCAAAGGATGCTGGGATAGCTTTCTTTTGGATAGTTTCAAAGCACAGGCCTAATAGGGATGTCCAGGCCAGGGAACCAGACTAGATCTAGTCCAGAGCAAAACCCCTAAAGCATGATGAGAGTAGCTACAGCAACCTTAGCAACAACTGCTTTCATCTACTCATCTGCTTCTTTTGTGCTTCACTACTTATTAATGCAGACAAAGCTTAAAACTACATTAAAAAAAACCCTATATGCACTCAAAAGTACTTAAAAATGAAAAATAATAAGTGCAAACCCAAATGCAGTTCGTGTCATTGTGAACAGTAATTATAACTGCACAGCGCTACTCAGGAATATTCTGCATTCTTGTCGCATGCAAAACTGTTTCAAGTTGAGGAATTTCACTTAATTAAATTTATTGCCAATTACAAAAGCTTTAATTACTGATTTCGGTATTGAGAAACAAGACAAATAGTCAAACAAACACCCAAAGAAAACACTTTTCCTCCCTCTTTGTCTGTCTCAACTTTGCTTCAGACACTTCTCCTCTCTAGTTCCCAGTCTCCTTGCTTTTGCCATTATGTTATACTCAGTTCCTTTGGTAAGGTGATGGGTGGTGCAGGAGAGTGGGGTTAGCGCATAGTGGCTTGCTCTTTTTGCCTCTCCTTGTTTCTTAGTTCTTTCAACTGCTTTAGTGTAGGTCCTCCACCAGCCGAAATCCCCTCAGGGATTGTACCTGTCCAGCGTGTATTTCTCCATGGGTTGCAGTCCCTTCAGAGGAGTACCTCCTCCTGTGTTTTCTTTTGTGTGTCTTCACACATCTCCTGTCTTTCCCTTCATGCCTACTCCATTATCTCCCCCTCTATCTCCATTTGTGAATTGTTTTGTGCCTCCTGCATCACCTTCGTGCCTCCTTCTGTGTCTTCTTTTGTGCCTTCTCACATGCCTCCTCCTGTATCTCCACTTGTGCCTCCTGACATGTTTCCCTTTGCGTTTCCTCCTCTGCTCTGGTATCTCCCGTCCCTAGTAGCTACTGACCTTTCTTAAATATGTTTTTGCAGAGGTGCCAGTATGCTCTTCTGTTTGGTTCCAATTTCAGTTGTGCAGTGTGTCCATATTGTCCTTTGTGGAGCTGGCTGGAAAAGGCTGTACCCAACACAGAGCAGTCCATGGTATCCTCCCACATAGGTCAGCCCTGCAGCCCCCCTGCTATGAAACCCCTGCCATTTATGCCACATACAATTCTAAAGGTGAATAGGAAAAAAAAAAAAGAAAGCATTTTCTAAAGCTCAGCTATAATGATCTATAGAGTAAATCATATGAATGGCAATGGGCATTGACAAAAAACATCTCTTGTCCTCAGTACTTGATAAACAAGAATAACTTAGTTTCATATGGTTAATCTCTTCTAAAGAGCTACTTACAGATGCATTAATACCTGCGGGAGATGTATTCATTTCTGAAGAAGAGATCCCAAGACTACATATATATGTTTTGTTACATATACCAGTCCCAGAATATGAACTTTGGCTGAAAAGACTATCTACTTCTGGAAATTAATTAAGTTTGACTTACCATAACAGAATCCAGTTTTTGTTTCACCTTCTGCATTCTCATTGATGCTCTTGCAACACTGACAAACTGATCTGCTGGACACATCACTGAACTTCTTTGTACAGGAATTTCAGAAAAACTGCTAAACAACTGTGGCCCTCTTGGTGCAGCTGTGGTAAGTGATGAACTGAGATCTTTTACGAGTTCAGCTTCCTGTTGTGCAACTGTAGAAATACCCAATATTAATGTCAGGTGAAGCCTTACGTTGCCATGGCAAAAAAATAATTGAATGATCGCTGTTATTTTGCCAGTCATGCCTTCAGTCAAACACCATCAGAATGTGTACTAATAGTGCTATAGGGAAAACCTGAAAATGACATGAAGTTTTCCCCCTACTACCCTATTTCCCCCTAACCCTTCCTGATCACAATGTCTCCCTTCTGTTATCTGTGTTCAGTAACCTCTCACACAGAACTGGTATTTTTGTATTGCTTATAGTGTTCTCCATGCAGAAATACTGGGGGGCGAGGGGGAAGAGAAAGGAGTTTTTCAAAGGCAAAAAAGTTACAGAACTTGCAATGAGTTCAAGTCAGATATTTTACTAGGTACATTTCACATTTTTTCCAGCCTAGTTCAAGTGAGCTTATTATACTTGAGTAAAATCTCAGAAGTTGCTAGGCATATATACAAGCACAGGAGGCATTCTTAGGAGGTAGCCTGCTCTAGAATAGAATAATTTTGATGAAAGTCGTGCTCACTGTCATTTAAACAAGTTGTTTGACTTTTGCAATTTTTTGTACTGTGGTCTCAAGCCAACAAAGGTTAAAAGAATTCTTCATGAAAGTTTTTTCCAGCAAGGATATTCATAAAACTGTTGGTGTATGTAAAACACATACTGTTCGAATCTTAAAAACTGTGTCAGTGACTAAAATAAGTATTACTATATGATTAACTCTTTCAACACTAAGGCAGTAAGACTACCTTCTGAAAGCAAAGTGTGTGCTTTTAACCAAAAAAGGAACAAAAAGTTAGTAACACACAATGTAGAAAAGACCACAACCTATGCAAAATCTTACTGCTACCAGTGATATAGTTAAGCAGTCAGATGATACAAATAACTACCAGTGTGATATCTGTGTGATCTCTAAATATACACACACATATATATTAAACTACCCCATTAGCTTTTTAAAGACTCTCTGTCTGCTGAACAGTCAAAAAATTTTAAAGAAATCCTTCACCCAAAAAATTTTCCACTGCTCTCTAGAATGAAGGTATCTTACTGGGTTGAAGTTTACAACTGAATATTCATTGTAAAGTCATTCCACTTTATTTTCCTGTAAAAGTCAACCAGTTCAACAGACAAATAACCTAAACTGTGAGATTTGATATGAGTAATCTCATTACTAGATGTTATTTAAAAACCAAATGTATAAAGACAGGATTAGCTTTATAAATCTATGTTCACTGCAAATATAATTCAAACAAAAATCTGTTACAGATACGCAAAATTTATTGCATAATTCATATTAACACTATCTACTGTCTAGATGCAATATGACATCTGAAAGCATGTCCTTAATTGAAACAACAACACTACTAAAGCTAACCACAAAAACACCACTATCAGAAAAGTCTGCAAAGGACAGTCTGAATTTTATTTTGTATATAAAAAATTCAAAGTCAGCATTTATCACTATTTTCTCTTTAATATAACATGGGGAATGAACATCTCTCCTCACATAATCACACCACAGGTGTAACACCTGTTTATTAAAACAATCTATACTCTCTCATTCATTTCTATACAGCTCCTCAACATTATTTTATAACATAGCCAGCACAAAATACTGAGATTTCTATTAAGCTATTCATTAATTTTCAGGATGATAGTATTTTCTGGCTCCATAATCCACCTTGATACTGAAAAGGGGCTTTTAAATATTTGTATGATGCCACCTATATATGATAAAGTGTGGTAAAAATCACACAGGATGACAGACAATAACACATTTAAAGTTGAGGCTGCAAGGGACCTCTGGTGATTGGCTAGGCCAAAGCCCCTGCTCAAAGCAGGGTCACCTACAGCAGGTTGCTCAGGGTCATGTCCAGTTCGGTTTTGGTATCTCCCAGGAGAAAGATACGTATTATCATCAAAAGACTATTTTCGTTTTCCTTCAAAAGAAGTACAACTACTAGCACATCACTTTTAAAAATAAAATATTTACAGGTGTGTTCCAAGAAAAGTTGCACTGTACCTTTATAATCATAAATGTATACAAGTATTGGCTGGTTTTGACCAAAGGCACAAAATGACACCATGTGTTCATGTGGATGAAACGCAACATCACGAAGTGGCGATGTGAAGGAGAGTTCAGAATATATGGCGACCTGATCACCTACAGAAGTGAAATGTTTATTAATACCATGGAAACATATTTGATACAGCAAAATAACAGTTGATTAAAGCTTGTATTACAACAGCGCCGTGCACTACCACAGTAAATATATATTCTTCAGTTAATTTCCTTATTGAAAAGTAGTATTTGGCATAAGACAAAAAATATTGCATGCTTTTAAGTTATTCAGTAAGTCAGAAAAGTTAGTGCTGTTGCAACAGCTGCAGGAAACCCCAGAGGATGCATCAAGTTAGCTGAGGTCTCTTGTTCTGATAAGCAAGTTCTGGAAAGGTGGCGTTCCACAGTATTTGTTTGTGCTTGCATTTTACCAGAGATAGCTATCTTAGTTGTGGATTTCAATTATATAATACTGACAACAGGAGTAAAAGTTGAGCACAAAACTATTAAAAAAATTTAAAAAATTAGCTCTTCAGCTGATGGCATTATGAATGCAAGCAGAGTGTGTAAGCAAGAGTCAATGCCCAGTGAAAACATACTAATAACAAAGTTCCTCCCTCCTTTTACTTTTATTCTTTTTTTAAAGTTTTCAGACAAATTATGTAGTGGCATAGAAGTGAGCTAATATAGTTGGAAACATGGAAAGAAATTCAAAACAGAACTGTTGGTTCGCCGCCAGTTTTAAAGTATTTACTTATTCCTTTTTAAAAATTATATAGAACATAATTGGAGACAGAATATAATGTCATCAAAACCAAAAAGTGTGTTCTGCTACCTTCTCCTGTTACTTCTGTCCCTTTTACCTCACTGTACAACGAAGATGACAAACCCTTTATCTTACATTTGCTTAACCAGAAAGATTTTGGTAGCTATTTTGAAACTAGTCAGTTTGGAGAATAATTAACGAAATATTCAGAGTCTCTGACCACCCTTGGGAAACAGATGGAAGTGGTTCTCAACAAAAGCCTAATTCCCAAATCCCCAAAAACACAACAGAGACTGATTTGATTTAAAACATTTTTGTGCATTCCATTTTAAGACCCTCATCCACATGTAAAGAATTGCAGTACACAAAAAGTTGAGCTTCAGGTGCTCCATTCCTACTGGATATTACAAATGCTACCTCTGCATATTAAATTCCTCTAGAGAATTAAATCTTAGAGATTAATAATAGCTATTGAAAAGGTGGAGCTAAGGCTACAGGATTTAAGAATATCTTACTGAAGTTTTGTTCCATATCAGAACGGTTTCAATAAAGCTTACAAAACCGTTTCCCTGTCAGCCTTGACAACCTGGCTTAAGACCATAGAATAGTTAGTTACCTGTTTCTGGATTCCAAACATAAGCCCTTCCATCTTCACTTCCAGAAAATAGGAACGTACCACATGGTGTTAAGGTGCTGTGAATCTTTTCTCTGTAATTTGTGGCACCTATGTATTTCTTTGTAGCCAATCTAAAGATAAAGAATAGTTTGCACATGTAGCAGATACTTTCAGAATAGACAATCTAACTTTGTGTGTCAGTCCACCCCTCTATTGCTCAGAAAAATCAATACACCTTGAGTCCCAAATAGATATGCAAGCACCCACCTTTTGCAGAGTGCAGTGTTTACCCTTTCTTTCCCTGGCTTTCATAATGCACCTGAAATGATAGATGAAAGTGTACATCCTTGTCTTTCAGTAGCAAATGGAAATACTCAGATTAAGAGAATGGATATAGATGTAGTAATTTGCATTTTCTTGATCCTGGGCTTTGCAAAAAAAATAGGGAAATTGGCACTGTTACTCCAAGCTCTGCCAAAAAAGTTTTCAATATGCTTCCTGAGCTTGTTTACATCCCAGTAGCGCTTAAATTTATCCAGCAGCTCTCTTTAGACTAATGTCTCCTTGGTTAAAAAAAAAAGCAACAGTAGAATCAACAAATTTCAGACATCAGTGCTGATTTACTATTAACATCAATATTTTTAGTATTATTTTGCAACTTTGGTATCCTAATCTTAAGTCAGTGAAACACTACTGGTCAGCATAGTAATAATGACCTACCAATGAACTGTCAAACAGTCTGTAGGCATCAAGTGAGAGAGAACCTACAAAAGGATTTAAAGAAGCATAAGTGAGCTTCTAAGAGGCTCTCTCAAACATGAGGTACAGCTTGGAAAAAGATGTGAAAGTTCAAAATGGAGACTAATACTGCAGTAATACTACAATGCAGAATTCAAGGCAAGAAAAATGGCAATAGGCCATGACAGCCCTCAAAGACAGAAGACAGTAATTTTTAAAATGTGTTACTGCAGAAACAATGGAGGTATGCTGGCAGAAGCGCAGAGCAGTTAATATGACAGGAAAATTATTTTGCACAATATTCTGAATAAATACACCCTGCATACAATTCTGTTTGGCAAGCAAGAGAAAAGGATGCTTTAATGATCACAGCGCAAGACCATATTAGCCCAAATAAGAGTTTTTTCTGTGTAAGATAGTATCTCTGAGATGTCATGTAGAAGAGCTCTGCAAGATGTAAAACTAGCCTGCATATGAAACCCTAAGGAGAGGTCTGAACCAAAACCAAATCACTGATCACATACTTAAGTGACAGGACAGCAGCATTATCCAAAAAGATCAAAAAAAGCAAGTTTAAAGAGGAAAGTTAAGAACAACTAGCTGTCAATCAAAGTGAATTGTGTTGATCTGTGACCTCCACCCCCTCTTTTCTCATGTAGGGAATGAACAGTTAATGCTGACGTGTAAAATTATCACTGCTGAGTATCTAACCCTGTGGTTTATTGATAGACTTAAGCCAATGTAACTGTGGGCTGCAGTCAAAGCAGCAGTCCTGCTGCTGTCCTCTCCACCCTTATTTTCCCAGGCTCTCCCTCATTTCTTCTCTAGTGTTTGGGCAGCTATCAGATGAGTTAGATCAGATAGTTGATTAAAATGAAAATTAATCATTTGTATTTGTAGGCTGATTTTCAGTCGGATCAGTTCACTGATTTGACTTACCCTGCATTGAGAGATCTCTAGAGCTGATAAAAAGGAAATGCTAGGAATACATGGCCAAAGGTGTGGGAGATAGGAGATGGTGTGTCCTATGGATAAACTGGCTTAAAATAATTGTGAAATTGCACACCATATTAACCCTTTCTTAGAGATTAATATGTATGTCCATTTTTCCCTCTCAAACTAAAACTCTCTGCACTTTTTAGGAATGGTAGTGATAGAAGAACACTATCTGCTTCAAAAACTATAGGCTCCCTCGGTTAATCCAACAATTTCATGCTTCAATTGAGTGGATAGTTTAGCCTTCTAGAATATTCATTATAATTTATCATTTACAGTAAAAGATGAAGAGTGCACTACAAGACTGGAAAGTCTTCAGCTAGTTCAAACATCCAACCCATTATATTACTTAGGAGCAAGATTTTCTGAGAGAGTATGTATATGTACATAAGTATGTTCTAAAAGAATGTAGTTTCTTGTGCTATGAGAGCATAAAGGTATTTCCCCCAGGTAATTTCATGCAGAACACCAGGGACCTTTGATTTTCTGCATGGCAAGGGGTGGAAGGGAACCCATGAAATTAAGGATCAATCATTTAGAAAGAGCATTCATATCTTTAATGTGACTTTCCAGAAGAGAATGTTCAGGTGCATCTTACTAATAAGTGTAACTGATAGGAGTGAGAGTCTTCTCAGTTTCACCCAGTGAAAGGACAAAGGGGAATGGACACAAATTGAAATACAGGACATTCTGTTTAAAATTAAGAAAAAAATTCTTTTACTTTGAGAGTGAATGAACACTAGAACATGTTACTCACAGAAGTTGTAAACTCCATCCTTCAGGATATTTAAAACCCAATTGGACAAAGCTGAGTAACATGTTCTCATACTTTGATTATTGGGGTCAGACTGGACACTCTCCAACCTCAACAAACTTAAGTGATTCTGTGACCCCCTTGTTTTTTATTGTAGTTTATTATTAAAGAATTATGTTCATAACTATTAAAAATGAGAAAAATCATCAAAAACTAAGTTAAAAATCTCACAGCCTGCTTAATATACCATAATACGTACATCGCTGCATTTTTCAATATTTATGAATACAATTTTCATTCCATTTTATCATCAAATTTCCAGAGTCTTAACCATGAGAAACTAATGCACAAATAAGTGTTAGAATTTCAATGTTATTTTCATGCCCAGATTGCATTTTTAAAAGTGATTTCAGTCTTCAGGAGACTAGTCTTCTCCTTCATGCCACCTTAAGCTCCCAAGTAATCTAGTAATTTTTGGATATTCTATTCTAAAAGACTTACCCGATATCATGCAAAAGGTCTGTAATACAGCAGTGTTTTGAAACTATTTCCTAACCCTAATATTGCTATCATTGATTATTAAGATATCTTTCTTCTCCACAACTACACATTTAATAGTTTTATGGTACTTTATTTCCCCAGGTAAATTTTAAAACAAAAAGGAAGTACGCACTTGTCACCAAAAATCTACTTACATTCTGAGATCCATGATTCTCAGGGTACTGTCTTTGGCATGGATTAATAAACGCCTTCCATTTGGATGCACCTCCAAATGATTTATTGGTGTTCCTTTAATATCATTTTCTTTTATTTCCTATAGAAGGAAGGAAAATAAAGTAAAAAATTTATCTTTGTGTTTTAAAACTCATGTTTTTACACATTATTATTAATTTTTCTCTTGCATTACTCTTTTTTTGCCCATTTAATTCTATTTGGTTAAGGAAGAAATTTGTTCCTATATTAAGGCATTATATCCTAGGCAATCAACTTTTCACAATGTCAAGGCAGATTTTGCTGTGACTGAACTTCTGAAACAGTTGATGACAGAAATGCTGACTAAACATTAGGCCTCTAAGGTATGAACAAATGTGATTTGTAAAGCCTGTGGTCTATTTTCTTGCTGTCTCTAGAGAACAACCTAATGCATTAGCTTTTACCCGTTAATACAATGCTATTAAGCCTCAAGCATTTTCATATTTTATATACAAAAAATTGAAGTCACAAAACAATTCAAAAATTTTAAGTCAGTGAATCACAGCATGTTCTATCAGCTCTTTTGTACCGTTATTTAAAGAAAATACATCTTTTCAGTTAAACAAAAGTTAACGTATAAAAAAGTTTGAATTCAAATCAAATGACTTGGAACAGTTCACATAAAAATTACAATGCTAGTTTAAGAAACCTGTATACCTTATTAATTCTCCAGTGTTGAAACAGGTGTTGAGAACTTCCTTTGACAGATGTGTCCCAAACTATTATCAGTCCTGAACTATCTCCTGAGAACATGTGGAGCCCTGTGAAATAATAATCTTATAAGTAGAAGAATGCAAAAGAACTAATACAGAAAAAGATGTATGAACAAGAAACAACTTTTTTCTATTATTTTTGTGAACGGGTGAAAACCAGTACTTTTCTCTCTTTTGCTATGATACACTCATTGCAGCTACATTTTGCTCATACTGTATGACATAAGTTGATACCGTAAATTTGGATACAGCACATAAGTCAGATACTGGGATGCTGAATGTTCTTTTAAGTTTTTTCATTTTTACTCATATTCTAGAATCAGCAAAAAATAAGCACTTATAGCTCAATGAGCTTCACATGACAGCCTAATGCTTACCTATACATTCACTGAGAGCATCTTGAACAAGAACAAATAGTGTTTTCCAACAGTAGTTCTTAAATTAAGCAGAAATACTAATTCTTTATAAAAATGCAACTCTTTCCTCTTTGTGGCACCTACTCCAGTGAATACCTCCCAAAATGAACCACCTAATTACTAATAATATCACTAATACCAGAAAGTCAAACACTTCAAGTATCTTACTCATTTGCCCATCTTCAAGTCTTCCCACCCTCCACTAGTACATGTCAGTACCTTTCTCTCACTTGCTTTCAGCTGTTAATCTACCAGATAACGTTGTTCACAATGGTCAAATTTCTGTCCTTTTCTCTCAGTTTTTCACATTCTCTGTTAATATCAAAAAGTTCATCGCCTTCCCACTTCTTCAGTCTAGCATTAAAATTCTCACAATCTAACTACTGCTACCTCATTTTCTTTATCTTTGTATTAAGTTGATAACTTTGAATGACAATATGGTGGAGCTATCTTTGCTACTGTTCTGATCATGCAATTTCACGTTCTGAAGTTCTGTTCCAAGAGTTTTCCAGAAGCTGGCTTCAGATTTCCTGCATCTGCTTTTAAGCTGGCACATAATTCTTCCACCTAGATAAATCCTAGCCAAACCTGCCTTTTTTCCGACTTACCTCTCTACACTAACTGCTAGGCTTTTCACCTGCATCCTGATGCATTTGTCTCCTCTGAACAGCAGCATTTGTGCTTTTTGTTCTGCTAATTTCAGTTTCAATATTTACAAAACACTAGCTAACTAAAAATAGCTAGTTATAGGGACCATGAAAACTACACTATGACCAAAGTTTGCCCAGTCATCATTGCCCGATCACTACACATTTGTTTGCCTGTCCTTTCTACACTTACTTTCTCTGATTACTCTCAATTTATATCAGGGACTATGTGTCCCTTTGTGTTCATCCAAATAAGGCACCATACTAACATATTAATTGCAAACACAGCTAAAACTATTCTATTCTATTATAGCATTTTACATTGCCTCTATGAAATAAACCAAACTAGTAACACTTATGTTGGTCTTCAACTGAAGACTATTTGAAAAAGTAATACCAAGTACACACCTTCTGCATCAAAACAAAGTGTGTTGATGAAACTTTTGTGACCATCAAGCTCCTGTAGCAGTTGCCCATGGATTTCTTTCACATTTGCATTCCAGATTCTAATCACTGAGTCATAACATCCTGTCACAACCAAGGAGTCAGCAATTGGGTGGTACTTTGCAGTGTAAACAAATGAAGGATGAGGGAAAACTCTCACTGCAGATGCTGCCTGCATTTCTATTTTCCACATTCTAAAAGGAAAGGATGTTAGGATATCTACTGTATAAAACAATCACATACACAGGTATAACTGATGCCATATTTCATGCTAGTGCTTCTAGAGGTACATGCTTGCAAACACTTAGCACCACCTGTTTATCCTACCAATATGTTCCACCTGTATTTAATCCTTTAATATGGTACTTTCTAACAAGATTAAGATACATTTACTACTTTACACAGTACTCTGCCATCAAAGTAAATTCATGACTACTTACTTATTTTGCACATTTTAAAATACACATAAAGAATTCCATGGAATGGATCGGTTCGTTTCCTTCAGGAGTTATAAACAAATTAAGACATTCTGGGGTATAATTCGTTTTGCAGGGAAAAAAAAAAGGTAGAACAAAAATCCCACAAAGGAACATTTAGGACTAATATAAATATAAAATTATAGGACTAATATAATAGTACTACTAATAATATAGCACTAATATTTAATAATAGGACTAATATAAATAAAACTCCAGAAAGTTTTAAAAGAACAATTACCTACCACACAGTGATTGTGATCTCAAGGATGTTTTCTTCACATAAATTCAGTTCTTACTATTCAACTATTTCCTATCCTTTACCACCCATAGCTGTAAGATCAGATTTTTCTTAGGAAGTGTTTTTTGTTTGATGTGATACATTTTATGATTGAGCCTTCCCCAAAGATGAGCCCATAAAGAATGAAAAGGTACCTGGATCATGAAATACAGGTGGGCAGCACATTTCAGAGAGTGCTCAGTTACAGTATGGAATTTAATTGTTTGAATGCCACCCTTCCAGGTGGGGTGACTACCTCTGGTGGCTACTGAAAGAATTCTAAGCTTACTCTGAGGTGAGTTCATTACAAAATTGCAATCTCTTATAGCAATTAACTTGCAACTTCATCTGCAAAGGATACAAGGAGTCTACCTATCTTTTAGAACGGTTTTGCCCTAACAACATAAAAGGTAATTTGTTGCTCACAAGTAATGTGAGACTAAAGCTTCGGAAGGCTCAAGGGTAACAAAACACTACATGAAGAAGAATTTACATAAATTCCCAAATCTCCGTTCAAGTTGCCTTAGAACTCAGCATGAGAGATGATCTGAGTAATAAACTGATAATGACTTTAAAGCAATGGGGTGCCTTTTGGTCCTCATCCTTCAATTCTACCATGTTTCAAAGGCAAAGTGCTCCCAATATGAAAGAGAAAAAGAAACTCCTTGCCTAAACTAAGACTTTTTAAGGACCTTAAGCAACAGACAATAAATACAGGAACTAATCATTTGTACAGTGACTAAGCATAGTACACAGAAAAGGAGGCAGACCACTACAGTTTCAACTTGCTGCCACAAATTCAAGAATTGAGGAACAGCTGGGCCTTCTTACAGGTAACAGAAATGACTGAAATAGATATTTACTTCAATACAAAAAAATTATTTAATGTCTTCCAAATAGAAAATAAAAACATGAGCAAAGCTCTCAAAATACTCTTTTTATGCCTACGTACAAGCAGCAAAAAAAGACAAAACAGTTCCACACATACAATATATCATTTAACAATTCTTCTGGTATTTCATTTATGCAACTGCCTGTAGCATTACTGAGTTGCATAACAGAAACAACAGATAGGGATCTGAAGAGCTAAAAAAAAAAAAAAAAAGCCCTATGAAAACCTATGAAGTTGCTCATAATAAAATTGTGCAGTGTCACAGCCATATTTTCATGTAGTATTTTCTACAGTTTTGAGCGTTTTGCTTTTAAACCTTGAACAGATTAGTATTTTAACATTAATACTGCACTGAAGTACACTTTTTAATTGCAGAGGAAAATGTGTACACATTCAGTCTCAGAAATAAAACTATCAAGTTTCATTTTTAGCAATTTAATTTGAATTATTTAACTAAGTGTCCAAAAACTAAAATACCTACAAAAATGCAGTGTGGTCAATTTACACACATAACTTGAATCTTAAATTTTCAATTTCCTGCCTCACGTTCAAATTTGCAAACTTAATACTGCATTCATAATACAGCAATTTCTCCAAGGAAATATTCCAACTGTCTCAGCGACTTTTTGAAATATAAAGCCTTTTGGTTTTTTGCTGCACTGTAGATTTAGACACTACAGTTTTTGGAAAAGCTTTGGTCTCAAATACACATACATTAGAAACCAATATAGTCAATAAAGTGCGATTAACTCTATCACAATTTTTATATTATTATAGAGTAAGTCACACTGTAATCAAATCTTTAAATAAAATGTTATAGCAGTTTGTAGGAAGACATGAAATCGGACCACTTTCTTTTCTGCTTCTGATGCTACCTGCCACAACATCTGCATCATACTGACCTGACAGTGCCATCAGAGGATGCTGTAAGAAGGTGTTGATTGTCTTTTGACCAACAAAGATCATACACTATGTTAAGGTGACCATAAAATTCTCTCAGGAACTGCCCAGAAGGAATTTCATACACTAGTGAAGTTTAAATAGGAAAAAAAAAATCTGTAAGTATTTACAATCAATTTTATGCAATTATTAGTGCAAAGTTTAGTTTAATCTTAGGCTGAGTTTCTGCTAGCCTAAATCAGCTCATTTTCTTTATCATCTCGGAGAACAAGATCAAATAGTTGCTAGATATGCATGGACACCAAGCATATACTTCCATCTAGTGGTTCATGGATGTCACAAATGTCTTAACCCCTAAGAAACAGTTTATTTGCTTCAAATTATTAGAACCAAATTAGGATTATATATAATTTTTTTGACAGCTACCTGACCAATCTTTGAAATAGATTAACATTGAGATCATTTTCTGGGGCTGTGTAATAAAGTAATCTAGACTTACTGTTCCTTGCATTTAAACATCTACTTTGTATACACTTAAAATACTGTTCCCTCTAAATCTCAAAATTCTTATGCAGGGCTTAAGAACTATGCAGTTGAGGCTACCATGAAAAAGCAGCCTCAAGTTTGAGTAGTAAGAAATATCTGTATTTCAAACTGAACTGGACCATGGAAGACAGCAGCCTCCATCAGTCTGTCTGGAGATGACAGCAATCCAGGTATCTGACTTTTCATGACAGAGTAGCAGAAAAACTTACACAAAAAGTGTGTGTGGGGGGGGGGGCTGGAAAAGTTATTTCACTTAAAACCTTATTATCAGAAAATATGTTCCTTATGCAAACTGCTTTAGTATTTCCATTAGACCTCTGTGTAGAAATAGTGTAATTTCATACCATTAAACTGTATATATATTACCACGTATGAAAAGCCAGTGTTCCAGCCCTATTAACAAAGGAAGAGCATTTTCCTCAATGTTCTTTAATGCATAGAACAATTTGCAAAACACAATTATAAAACAAAGCCTCTAAAAAAAGCAATTTAAAAATACATCTTTCGCCCTTTAATTTCAAACTACATGAATTATAAGAAAAAACCCCAAAACATATTTTAAACTTACAAACAATGGGATAGCCATTCTTTCCTGCACATGCTGCTGCCAGCGTTTTCCCATCATGAGAGAAACGAATACAGAAACAGCCCATATCTCCACCTCGCAGTGAAAACAGATGCTTGTTTGGTATGCGGCAAGCCTAGCTTTTCAGGTAAAAATTGGGATTACACAGTTATGAATATTAACTAGCCAATGCTTAAAACACCTTCTTAGTTCCTATCATGCATAAGTTCTAAAAAGCTACTAACATCTTAGGGGAATCTAAAAGAAAAAAATCAACCTTATAAACAGAGGCAGCTCTGCTGCATAACTTAAGCCACATCTAGTTTGTATATTCGTTTCAACCCCATTACTATGGACAACTAGAAAGTTTTAAAAACCTATGAAAATTTAAAATTGAAATAATTTCCTTAATCTTAAGAAGTGCTTAATGATGACTATCATCAATAATATAAGCTGTAGAGTTACAGTGTAAGTCAAACTTGTTTAAGGAATCTAAGCACAACTTTTAGTAAATTAATGATTCCAGTGTGAACTCAGAAGAGTAACCACAGGCACTCAAACCTCTGGTCTACCAAATCACCCTTAGTGTTCCTCATCTGTATTTCAATTCCTGATTTTTTTAAACATATCTGGAGATGAAACATTTCACAAAATTGCACGGGTATTATAGTCCCCCTTCCTCTCTCCCAAAACATTCCCTCTTTTTCACCCAAGGGCTTTTTTCCAGAACTAAATTCAAAGTTTAATGGGAATTAAAATATCCTGAGTAGTTATGTGATTATTTAACCTAAACCTGATTTACCTTTATGAATGAAAAATTTGTATGAACAGATTCATATGCATTTAAAATATACAAAACTAGGAGTTAGGATGAAGTCAGCAAGAACCTTCTTAAGATTCTTCAATGAAAGTTCCTTCTGTTATACTGTAAAAATAACTTTAACTGAGGGAATTAAAAAACAAAAAACCAAAACAACAACAACAAAAAAAAAAACAAACCCAAGCAAGAAAATATATTTCCAATCAAGCTGAAATCTGAGAACTGGTTTCTGGTCTTACTTCTACTACCCAAATATCCCTACTCTTTCAAATTCCTAGAGAATTCTGGAGAGAAAAATACCTGACTGTTCTGGGAAAAAATGGTTAAATCAACCATATTTGGCAAGAAGCTAAGCATCCTCTACTATTTCCAGGAGTTCCTTATGTTTTGTATTTTGTTTAGTAATTTTTTTAATTTGCTTTAATGAATGACTTGCTTCACAATACTTAGATCATAAAAATAAAGTTATAAAAAGATAGTAGATCTTTAAATTATTTTCCTTTAAAAAGCAAAGAAAAACACTTCACCTGTCCAGGCAATCTTGTCCATTTAAATGGCTCCTTCTTCTCCTCTGGAAAAGGTTCACATGATTTTTTAGATCCCTCTCTCTGGAGCTCACATAGTGTTGCACTACTTTGTTCCTGCTGAACAGCTATCATAGAGCGGAAAGAAGGAGCAACCTTAAGGCAAACAAAACTAAGTATCAGGAAAAAAATATTTTTAAAATAAGCAGTGTAATATCTGAAAAAATTAAAAGGTAATTTTGACTTCAAATGCATTGCATTTTTACATCTGAAAAATAGAGATTAGAAAAAGCTTAATACATGAAAGCTGCGTAGCAAAAATTTCATTTAAAGTAACCAGCAAGTCAGAAAGTAATCTGAGCTTCCACAGTTCTGTCAATCAGATGGTATCAAAGATTTTTCAAATAATCTATACTTTTCTATTTTTATTAGCTATCCAGGTCAGTAAAAATTAGTAATACTCTACTACCTAGTGAAGACGCTGTATAAAAAAAAGCATTTCAGCACATAAATAGTTCCAGTGACATTATCCTACCACCTTCAAATCAAAATACTGCTTTGGCAACAAAATCCATTCATGAGATGAAAAGATATTACCAGGGTTGTGTATTGAACAAACTATGTTCAAGTGTTGCAAAGGAAAAAGGAAGACTGACCACATTTGTGATTATAATTGTAAGTAAAGCATATATACTTTCCAAACTTCTCTAAGTACACTACTGAACCTTACCTACAAGTTACACCAAGCTTGAACACACAGGAAGCCTTAAGCTGTGAGGCAGCCTAGCAGCCCTATGGCTGAGGGGCACAGAGGCCATTAAGCAGCAGCTGCAGTTCTGCTTGGTTTCACTAAGACAGGTCTCAAACACATCTGAATACCAGGCAAAATTACTGTTTTATTCCAGGCTGACAGTCGCTAGGTATCTACTTCAGGGTGGATAACTGTCTAGGTTCCTGTGACTAAAAAGGGAAGTTGGACACCTACTATGCAAGTAGAAACCAATTTAAGAGCATAAATCAGTTGTCCACAAATAGATGTCTACTTCCATGCAAGATGCCCTGTTTTATCAGAGACATCTATTTTCGTATCTACCAGCCCATGCAGGAGGTATGGGAGATGTGGGCCCTTCTGGAGAAGCAGAAGACTAGGCATGATCTGTAACAGATCTTAAATGGAAGCAGAAATCTATGCATAGAAAACTGTATCATGCCATGGCTCTTATCTGGAGCTCAATCCCAGCCTTGGCAAATCTGGTATTTATCAGACCAAGAACAAAATAATACCAGTAGCTAATGGATCCAAGTCAAGCACAGCTCAGGCGGCCTACACAAATTTATCACATCACTTGAATTTCACAGAGGACTGTGAAGTAGGGACAGCTGTAAACCAGCGATAGCACCTAAATATACCAGAAAAACATTCAGACCATGGAGAAGACAGCCTCAGAACACTTCCAGAAAGATGAAGCACAGCTGCTCAAGCAAAGCACACAGAATTCCTAACAACCTCAGCAGCTGACAGAGCAAGAGATCTGCAGATGTCATTCCAGTATACGGATTAGAAAAGTGTCCCAAAAACATATGAACTAATCCCACAGATTAGCTTGGTTTTGGACCACATCTCAACAGGCTTCCACGTATCACCCTTGATTGTATGAACAGTGAGCAAAAGAAAGACTTATGACAACTGTAAATATATAAGGAAATTTATATAATAGAACAATATTGTACTCACATTGTAGAACAATAAATGCCTTGAATGCACATCTCAGCACATACCAATGTAAGTCTGTCTTTAAAGGAGTTTTCATTTGAGGAAAAAAATATGACTCATTATAGCTTGAGGGCGCAGGGAATCAGACTTAAGTGACTTACATCTTCTGTCACTTATAGAATTTACACACCTGCATGAGCCCAGTGACCTAAAATGGCATTTCTTCTAATAAGAAGGAATATCAATCTTCAGGAAAGTACCCTGAAAGTTTCCTGACTGTCAATGGCAAAATACGCAAAGTTGCAGGTAGAAAAGTCTATTTTTTAAAGACACCTATGAAGGAACGAGTTTGGAACATGTATCTTAAGATGCGAAGCTCTTGTTAATAGCTATCATATGCATCATATATAACAGCTAGTATACAAGTACAGGTTTTATATACATGCATACAAACACATACACTCACATGCTCAAGGTAGTTACTAGTTCCTACAGAAAAGTCTGTGTATTTGTAAATATATTTATACGTTATGTATTTAACTTACATGATCTGGCAGTTTTATGCCTCTAACAGTTACATATAAAGTTGATGGGTAACGATTTCTAGGACATTTTGCCCACCAGTTATAGACCTCAACAACATTTGAATGTGACTTGGTCCTCGGAGGTGGGTAATATAACTGCAGACGGAGTTTTCCATCAATGTTTAGAACTCCATTTGCACCTACAAGCTGGAAGGGTGATTAAAAAAAGGAAAAAAATGTGTTACATTAACATAAAAGTAATAGAAGTCATTGATTACTTCTAATATCTTGAACAACTACAGTAAACTCTGAAATCCACTTCCCATTGAGGGAATATATTATCCCTAAAAGTGGTAATGAAGTAAGCATGTATTAAACACCCCCAGGATCAAATCACTAACATTAAAGCTGGCAGCCTAGTTTTGAGACATGCTTCATGTGCACAACAGTAACATCCTGTATGTGGGAAGACCTCTGCAGTACCAGGGGGTTTTTTTGTTGTTGTTGTTTGTTTGTTTTAATTACTACTTGCTGGAATTACCCAGCAAGTCCAAATCTCAAAGGACTGTCAATCCACAAAGAGCCTCTTCCAAATCTGCCCACTTTGAACGCTGCAGCAAAGGGCATTGCTAAGGCTTTGACTCAGAGCAGAAGATACAGCAAAGCAGTAACCTTTCCAACTTCAGAGGAAACTGAGTTGTCTCTATTGAACTGAAGAACAAGTGTACCTACTACCATTAACATTGTTCACTGTTCATCAGGATATTTCTATTTTGACTGATACAGATGAAAGGATAATGCAGACAGATGCAGTAGGAATGAAGAACAGGCCACAATATTATTTGTACTTATGAGTTAGAAATTCATCCTTCCCTTTGTACAGCCTACTCCTGAACTGAATGCCTGGACGCACAGTTCCTACCAGCTATACACCTAGACAGGGGATACCAGACCCCTGATTCCAGTAGATTAATCTTGGGCAGAGCTGAGAAGAGACTCTGTATGGAATGATATGGAGGTCCCTCTCCCTCCCCCTAAACTTGCTGTCCATTATCTTCTGTATTTCTCATGTTGTGGACTGCTCAATGGCTGTCAAAATCTACCATTCACACAGGTAAGTGCAAATGAACTATCCTCAGGTAAATTAAAGCTTGCCAACTCTCAAAGGCCAAAGTGGCACATTCAAGTCTCTCCTAAAAGGGTAAAAAGGTACATGATGTGCTAGCTAAATTACCTGTATCTCATTGCTGCAGCATTTCAAACTCTGCAACTAAAAATGATAGGCATTTTATAGTTAGGTTAGGGAGTCTGTTCAAAGACTGGCCAACTGAAAACGCCACTAGAATACGGAATAGTTGAGGTACAGAAATTAGTGGTTTTGTGTTTTTTTTTTTTTTTTTTTTTTTTGCAGAGAATCTCATGAACACACAGAAAACCCTCAAAGAAAACATCCTTCTGTACTTTATGAACAAAAAAAAATTTCTTATACATTCTATACTTTCTTGAGAAGTACATATTCTTTACTGTCAAGCTTGTTACTGTGAGTTTTATGGGGCAAAGGAAGAGGGAAAGGAAAGAACATCCAAGCAAGCAACAATTTGGTTCTCCATCTTTGTTGCCTGGAAATATTAGAAAATGTTTTCCCACTTAGTATGGTTAATGTCTTTTAGATAAGTGAATAAAAAGATTTATAAATTTTGTTTCTTCATTTAGATATTTACAATACCTTTAGAAAAGCCCAACAAATTTTTCGGAAACCACGTTCCTGAATTTGTACATCAGAGTTGGCTCTCACTCCATCCATACTTAGAAAATCAAGGATCTGAAAGTATTGGTAGGAATATAAATATATTTCTATTGAATATATACTTCATGGTAATTAAAAAATACTGCTGAAAATATGCTAGATGTGATTCACTAAATTAAGCAGATTTCAATTTTAAGCAATTACAAAAACAGTACTTCCACACAAGTACACAATTAGAAATAACAGAACCTTATGCATTTACTTGATGACTATTTATGACCTGCTTTAAAAAAAAGCATGTCTGGTCTTAAACAACTATTCTTGCTTCCCTTCTGTCTCAATAAAAAAAGAAAATATTAATGAGTAGTCTTCATAAATCCTGTATAGTTCACAAATCATATAGATCACAAATCTGACAGCTAAAACCAGCTGTACATTAATCTAGCTGGAAAACAGCAGTCAAAAAGTTAGTTTTCCTTTCCTAGCTCTGTCACTTATGTCATAGAATCAATCATAGAATGGTTTGGGTTGGAAGGGACCTTCAAAGATCATCTAGTCCAATCCCCCCGCCATGGGCATGGACATCTTTCACTAGACCAGGCTGCTCAAAGCCCTGTCCAACCTGACTTTGAACACTTTGAATGATATCCATGACATTCTTCATTTTTCTGGTCAGTGACCAGAATCTTCTCATATTTAGCCACTTCTGGAGGTTTATCTGGTATGCAAAGAAACTTGGAATCATGCTTTCTTCAAACTGATATTTCATAAACCATGCTGAAGTCAAATGGCACACTTTCAGTGTAGTCATACTTTTGGTCCCAACATTAACATGATTTCCATGAAGAATCTTTACATACAAATGTAATTACTTTTGTGTTAAGGAACTAAGGACTCTTAATCCTATAAATGTGTTCATTTACGAGTATCACAGAACATAAAGAAATATATGGTGATACTGTATATACAATCTATTTGAAATATAAAAAAAACAAGGAATGAAAAAACATTTATGGTAGTAGGTACCCATTTTCAGGTTAATACTACAGATTGTCTCTTTACAAATATTGACATACTTAAGCTCAAAGTCATGTTGAATATATACCTTACAATTTTTCCTTTAAACGTACTTGTATTTGAGAACGAATTAATAATTACTTTGTGAAGAATGGGAGAGAAGTAAATGTCTAAAATGTTAATGGAAAACAATGCAACAGCTTGCTCATTGGTACAAGGGAAAAGAGGTGTTGCTACAAGCAGGGAACATCTTCATCTTTGTGAAGGGAAATGTGAAGAATGTGAGAGGGAAAAGTTCCACCCTTTATATGCGGTGCCACCCATCCAGATCTGGAACGATCTTACCAGCCTTTCCCAGAAGTATGACAGTTAATTTAATAAGAAAGCTTTCTCCTCCTTACTACTATCAAAACAGGGGGTTTTTGCTATAAAAAAAAATGTTTATTAGTATTAGCAATCACCAATACCACTTTTGGTATCTCCACTTAATTCTGTATCTTAAGGCTATACTATTAACCCAATATAACCAAAATAAAACACCTGAATCAGTCAAATATATACTGTTGAAGAAACAAACAGAAAATCATAATGTGCATAAATTGGATGTAAAATATTTAACCTTACCTCAAAAAACAGGATTACCCGAGGGCTTTCTTCAGTGTTTTGAATAAAATAACTAAAACACTCATTAAATATGACTTGCTCCTCCCACTCTGGAATCGTTGATTTAGACTGTCTGAAGTCATATGGCTGTGTCATAATGGGAAGAACGTGCTCTATTTGTTCTTGTTCATAATAAGATGAAACTTTCCTCTTGCTGTTTGAAAATTTCCAAACAGTTACAAATGTTATAGCACCTTAAAAAAACCCAACTCAAAACAGTATTTTCAGAAAGCAAAGAAACATACAAGATACCATTTGTTTGATTTTAGAAAAAAAATTTCTGAACCCACCCAAAATTTAAGACAATTTACAACGTATATAGAAATGCTACAAGCTGAAGTTCAAAATACTAACAACCAAGTTACTGTTACCAAATCTACGCATAATGATCAGGGTACAGTCTACTGCTTAAACACTGTTAAAATCTGCTTTTCAGGAAAATTATGCATAGTGACAGTGGAAATAAGTAACTGAACTGATTAGAAATATGAAGAACTAAACTTCATTTCAGGATTTTAAAAGTTTTTTATAAAAGGCAGACACTTCTACATATTTTTGAGATTTAGTACATTTTCTCTCTATAAAAAATACAGAATAAACTACGCTGTAAATACAGGGACCTCAAGAGCAATAGAGCAATGCAGAGCATTTAATAGTATCAAAAAGAAAAGAAAAATACCACCCTAATCTACTCTAGATATATATATGCATTATCATAGATGTATAAAGTAATGTAATGAATGACCTCGCAAGCTTAAAATTCAGCATTATTTTCATTTTCATCTTTAATTTGCTAGGGAAGAATCTATGTATTTATAGTAATCCTTGACGATAGAAACAGTTTATTAAAAGTCACCTATGATCCTTCTTGACGTATAAGCCACTTCTCTGATCAACAACATGGATTTTAACCATGGGATGAGATACCAGGAGATCAGTTTTAAGTCGATCAGATCGATGGATATAAACTCCCAACACACGACCATCATCAACACCAAATTTAGACTGAGTTGAGATTTCTGAATTCTTCATTTCCTCGTCATTTTCTACAGCCACTTGTGTATTTTCTTCTAGAAATAGGAACAAAGTAAATAGAGGTTACTATGTTCCACTACTGACAGTTTAAAGGAGTAAAAATGCTCTGTATGGTCTTAGCAATCAACAGTAAAGTAAAAATATTTAACATGTTCTTTATGTAATAGGTTAAAACAAAATTATCAAATTTGCAGCATTTTAAACATGTATGAACATACACATGAATAACATATTAATTAACATAATCGATTCCTATTAAGAAACATTTTTATTTAAAATCCGAGGTGTTCCTCTTGATTGACAGTTTCTTCTGTGCCACAATGACTTGAAATCCATACAGTTCAATACCCTGCTCTGGAATACACCCTACAGTAGGTTTTGTTTGGTTGTTTGGGTTTTTTTAAGAAAAATGTAAAAAACAAGATAAGCAGAAACTGATGCTTTCTCCATGTGCATTTTTCCCAAATTTACCAAACATTGTTTTCAGAACTTCCTCATTTAGAAGTGAGACCACCATGCTTAATAGATATCAAAAGACCTATTCCTCATCAATTTCTGTAATCTCAATTTTTTAAACGAATTTCTTATTTTGGCCTCCACAACGTTTGAGGAAATGAATTCTCCAATTTGACTATGCATTGCGTGAAAAAGTATTCCTTATGTTTGAATTGAGCATCAGGTTAAAACATTGGTGATACACAATTTACAGCATAATGTCAATAAAAATGATAAAATAATAAAAATACAATTAGAATATGCATCTAAGTAATACACTGTAAAGGTGGTATATAGAATATTATCTTGTGATTAAAAAAACCCGCTTTTTAACTACTTATCAATTTCAAAACTGTTTACAGGAAATGAATTCTCAAGATTTTAGATTGATACATCAAATAAACTTCCTTACAAATTAGGCTCAGAATTGGAAGAACACAAATACAATTAAGTAACTAAAGAAACGTAAGTAACTTCAACAGCTCAATCACTTCTGTGTTACTACTATGGACAAATATTTCTGTAGCAGTGAAAAAAAAAAGGAAAAGAAAAAAGACTGTTGGCAGACCTTTTCTGGTTTTCTTTTTAACTTTCTTTGCTTTAGGTTTCTGGTTTTCCATGCTTTCCTCTAGTTTCTGTTCTTCCAATGACTGATTTTCATTGCCATCTTCTACTGGATGATGCTGTAGCTCAGAAAGGGACATTGCACTGCAGTGTAATAGATTCCTGTCAGGAATTGCATTCTACTGCATATATGGATACAATTGCTCATTACCATTATTAATCCACTTAAAATTTCCTCTTTAGTTCTGCAACACATCATCTGTAAATCTTGAAAATGCATTAGTGTCTGGCCTTTTTCATTTCTCTCCCCACCTGATTTCCCCCTAATTTTCAGATAACTGCAGAACCATTCATGTGAATAGAGCTAAGCTAATACTCTTCTTCTGGATCAGGGCCATCACTCATCACTAAAAAAAACATGCACAAAATTACCTTAAGTTAGTTAAGAGTGAGTTCCACAGAAAATAAGCATCAGATAGTAATGGAGGATTTTTTTTTGTTGTTAAACATTAATCTTGATGGCTTTTTTAAAGAGTATTTGGTAATATTTTTTCATAACAGAATCATCCAGTTCATCACTTAGAAAATATGTACAGTTTATCAGAAAGCTTCTGCCCATCTTAAAACAAAATGAAACATTTCACTTAAGATTCACAGACACATGGTATACAGTTTATCATGGTACCTTGTTTCAGCTTCACTTAAAGCTGCTATTTCTTTCTTCTTTTTCTTCTTTTTGCCCACTTCACTGTTCAATACAACTTCATGGCTTTGAACAGTGGAGGTAAATTCAGACATCTGTTCTTTAAGTTTCATTCTTATTTTCTTTTTAATTGCATTTGCCTCATCCTCCGCCACATGCAGCTGATAGGCTCGAATTAGCTCTTCTTCCTCTTCTAATTCAGTTACATTTCTTGCTTCAGTCAAGGAATTTTTAATCTTTCTATCACCTTCTTGATGAGATACATCTGTTTGTGATTTACTTTTTGTTTTCTTCTTTGGGAAATCATTAATCTTTTTCTCAAAACTCTCCAATTTAGCTTCATATAAATTTTCCTCCTCATTAAGTTGTTCTTGTAACAGTGATTTCTTTTTCTTCTTGTTAGACTTTGGTTTTTTGTTCTCCTCTCCACTAACAATATCATTGTTTATTTTCTCTGCAATTGAGGCTTTCTCTCTCAGTTTATTTTTTGTAAACCGGGGACTGTCTTCTTCAGGATTATATGTGTTGTTTATAATTGCTTCATCATTCACACTTTCCTTAGCTAGATCAACATTACTTCTAAAGGTGTCAAGCTATAAATGAAAAGAACATAAAACATACTTGTACTCAAAATCATGTCCTAAGGATAAACATAGTACTTTATGTTATTTCTTTAGCAACATTACGGGAAGTAAAATGAAATCAAAGATCTAGTTATTTTCTTGTTTAAAATTAACAAGTGACAGATTGAAAGGCAACAGAAAATTCACACTGAAAAAAACATTTTGTGTTTGGGCACTTCATCCTCAATTTTGTTTAACTATGTTTTTAAATTACTTTTATGTATATCCAGTAAAAAAAATAAATCAACAAGTCTACTCCATAAACAGATGTCAATGCTTTAGACTATGGAAGACTTCAAGAATACATACAGCATGACATCCAGTATTTTCATCCATTTAAAATACAAGTTAGAGACAGGCTTCAGACTCAGTTGTTTGTAGTCTCTTTTACTGATAGTTGCTTGCCAAAGTTTGACAATGAAATTATATTAAAAAATGCTAAAATTGAAAAACAGATTTCCATTAAAACTTTTTTTTTTTAATTATAAAGTTGAAAAAAACCCACCACATTATTCTTAGTAGAATGACAAATAGTTGATCTAAAGACCAGTCTAGTAAAAACAGCCAAGATAAATTTCAGCTAATGCATTTGTCTGTGCACTCCTTCTGCCAGTTTTTGATGTTTTTTAGAAAACACATTGTAAACTTTCCTCCCCTGTTCAGGTTTCTATTCCTGGTTACTAAAAGTTATAATGCCCCACCCCTGGAGACATTCAAGGCCAGGCTGGACAGCGCTCTGAACAACCTGATCTAGTTGAAGATCTCCCTGCTCATTGCAGGGGGGTTGGACTTTAGGTTTGAAGGTCCCTTCCAGACCAAACTATTCTATGACTCGATGATAACTCCAAATAACACAGCTAATTACTAAGGCCTAATTTTGTCAGGAGCTCAACACACAGATCTCTCTCTGTTCCTTGACGGAACGTCTATAAAGTTGCTGAGGCTCATTTACTCTGTCTTACATAAAACTCTCTCAAGTCGCCACACGAAACATTAGAAAGGACTTTAAAACACAAAGCAAATTTAAAAAAAAAAAAAATTGGTGAAAATAAAAGTATCTCCAAACAATCTTTTCTTTGCCAAGACCATCCTTCTCCCTCAAACACAGACATCTTCCCCTTCTAGCTGGGATACTTCTCCCAGTTATAGAAGCATGTTTGCCTCAAACATTTTTTAAAAAGAACAATATATGTAATAAGTGATCACCAAAATGTACAAGCTTATAAGAAAATGAAGTTGCAATGGCAATCATGCTTTGGAGGATGCATCCTGACTTAAAAATGCCCACCTGCAAGAATAATATTCCATGACTAGAAAGAACACTTAATGTGCAAGTCTGCCTCCATATTGTATGCCCTCAATTATGTGAGCCTGCAAACCATCACTATCTTGTTTTATTCACATCTGATGTTTGAAGAGAGAACATGGAGAGTGTTAATGAAGAAGGAGAAGGGAGAAAAAAGAAAGGAAAGTTTGAAGTACATGAGTAAAAACACATAAGAGAAAAAATATCAAGGAAGTTTATTATTTGTACAGAAAAATGGTCAAATAAAAGCATTGTGACAAGAAAAATACACCAAGACAAAGTTTAACACAGAAATAAAAGCTGATGTCTGAAACCAGAGACAAAGCTTAAAAATGCTCTAAATAGACTTACTAATGCTACATATTAAACAACACTGTCTTAATAAAGTATGAGTTAAAATAAGAAAGTGTCTAGAATTTCATCCAAGTATGCTTATCTAATACATCAGAAAAATCTAAAGCCATTCATGTATCTTTTCAGTAGGTATCTTTATTTTTAGCATCCTATGTCTAAAAATAGTTTAATTATCTCAATATCAAATCATGAAAAAACCTGTCTTTGTACCTTCATCTTTTACTTGCTTAAATAGACCAGTAACTTCCTCTTTATTCATAAATCAATGACTTGAAAGGATGTGGAAGATTTCTTATAAATAACTCGAAATACAGAGCAGAGTAAGGGAAATTAAAAAAAAAAGTTAGAGCAAGCAGCTTTGTATAAACTAAAAAAACAAAATAATGCTTTCTAATAGATTGTCCACTTCCTTATCTGCATTTCTATGAACAGCTTGAACTACAGAATACAAGGAATGAAGGTTAAAGCACATTGGCAATTAAGACCCAACAGTGACCAATAACTAAGGTCATGCTAATTTTTGCCTTTGACAGACCATTAATCCATTAAGCCCAAAAAGTAGAATTCTTTGAGAAATCCTAAACAAAAAGCCCTCATCTTTGACCTATTCAAGAATTTCTAAAATAACTGATATTCAAGAATCACTTCTTCAAAGAAACCTAGCTGCTGCAAAAACTTGCTTGAAATATTTACTAGAACTTGTTATTTATTATACCTACAAACAAAAACATATGTCCACAAGTGTGTGCCATGAATAGTAGCAACACACAATCACTTAATTATAGTAAATTTACTCATAGGAAAAAAAAATACAGAATATCCTCATAATGAAATAAAACACAAACTACAGCAAATTCCAGGAACATTAATAGATACTGCAGGCAGCACAAAGCTGCTTCAGCATCTCAACCCCAAATTCCTCAGATACATAGCCTATATAATCTTAACTCAGGCCACTTTTTCCACATGCTGTAATTACATGATGTAATTAAACAGAGAGGAAAGATGGGGGGGAGTCACAAAACGATAAAGTAAAAGCCAAGAGGTTCATAAAAACCATCAGATTAGGTCTCAGGCAGAGGCAGGGATACCAGGGCAGGTATACCAGTATAGATTCTCTGTCTGAAATGCAGGACAGAGATATCAGCTGAGCAATTGTCCTTATATAAACACACTTGAACTGTTAGAAAAAGCAGTTAGGCTGGAAAATCAGCTTAGAGGATAGGCCTGTCTCTGGAGTAACCTCAGAGTGATGCTGACCTGAACCTGACCTCCACAGCTTACAGCATGGAACAAATGGGAAGGCGCTTTTTTTGTTTCCAAAACAAGCTCCATGGCCACATTACGACAACAGGGCAGAGGAAGCACCCTTCCCTGAGAACAGACCTACTTGCACTGCTAGCTTGACTGAAGCAAGAGATGGGCAGCAGCCAAGATGCACACAGGTGGGCTAACACACAAGGCTTGTACCACAATGAACCTACCCCAGGTCATGTCCTTGCCATTCGTGTTCCAAAGCTGAACAGCAGGGACAACGCTTAATAATCTTACTCCTTTTTAAAAAGGCTTCTCAAATACGCTTGAGTGGAAACAGATCAAGTGATTTTGCCCAGGGTATCCAGAAACTCAGTTAACCACATTTACAGAGGTACCTGAACTTCTTCCCATAATACAGGCACACCTTGAAAAATTAGGAATGGACATTACCAGCGCACTGAAGGGCTGATATGTACCAGTTGTACAAGACCATTTACTTACAACTGAATTGGTAATGAATGTACTTACGGTGCTGGCTAGTTGGGTGGGATGTTTAAGAAAATTTTAATCCACTAGGGAACCAATTTTACTGCCATTGCTCATATAAGACTACTAAATGTAGATGCTCAAAGCTAGAAGAACTTTAAATTACAGATAGGATGGGCTTGGAGAAGTTTCACCAAATTTTAACAGAAAACATTGAGAAAATGTGTAGGTCAAGTAGATAGCCAATTATTACCAGTTCTCCTATTTTAAATATAAGAAACAAAGTGCTAAAAACCACTGGAAATCTCAACAATTATTCAGTGCCTGTCAGCTTATAGAAGAAATTGGGCTATGAAACAGACCCTGGGAAAATCCTATAACCTCAAAGCTCCGCAGGTTGTGTTTTACTTCTAAGACAGAAGCTAAAGTACTGAATTAGTCAGAAGAAACCTGTAAAACATCCATCTTACCCAAAAGAATACAAGGATTTTCTAGCCTGGAGATAGACTCCTATTACCTGTACCCTCATGGAACTCCAGACTCCAACCTGTCATCCAGGGCCTTATGAAGAGGGGGAAGGAGCGGACTCAGTGAGGTAGGAAGTAAAAAGCTTCAAAGGGATAAATCTGTTGCAGTTCTGCCTTGAATACAAAACCTTAGTTATTGATGCATGCCCATCCCAATATTGTAAACTGGTCAGACTACAGTCTAGGGAAGAAATTCTTGCCTCCATAAAGGGATCTTGCTTTTCACCTGGTAGAAAACTTCACTGACATTTTCCAAGTTAAATATTCTCTTTTCTACCATGAAATTTACATTGAACCAAAGAAACTCAACCATTTTCACACTGACTTTAGAGAGATTAATGTATCTGGGCATTGCCTGGTCTGAGGCTTGCCTCATTCTAACAACTTGTAACAGGAGGCACAACTGGTAAAAGGTAACTATAGTGGCTGTTAGCCCTGGACCCTTCCAGGGCTAGCAAATTCACTTTCTGACTGTGATCCAATTGCTTGTTTTTTCAGCCATGCCTTCAGGCCTCATAACCATTGCACCTGTGGCTATTGAACAACAAAGCAGACGTGTCTCCACAGCTGATGTCTATCTCCACCCCCATTACAAGCCCCTCATTCCTATCAGTTGTGACTTCAAACTCATCCTGCAGTACTGGTAACAGCCTTTCCTCTTCCAGTCAGGCTGCTTCCCTTCTCTCCAGGCAGGCTCCCCAGGTAATGAGCACACAGAGGCAAGCAGGCAATTTCCTTACCCTCAAGTCTGTCATTTAAAATCACAGTAACCTCCTACAGCTCCAGAACTCAGGTTTCAAGCAAACAGTGGACTACGATGGAAAAGTTTTATTTATCTAAGAAAAGCTAGGTTCAGTAAAGACAAAGGAAAGAAGCAGTCTGCTTTCTTCTAGCAGACACTAGTGTTTTACATCAGAGACTTCTGGAATGGAAACCAATTTTAAAACAAAAGTAAGCTTAAAATATTTATGAGTAATATGTAGTTGCATATGAACATACAATTATGTGCTCAAAAATACTTATACCATACTTACAAAGTACAGATTTAAAAACTCACGTTTCATCAAAAAAGTAAACCTAACCAAGGAAGAATTTAGTCTTGTGTTTATACATATGCCAGCAAAAAAAGGAAAAAAACCATGCTCTAACACCTCGATGCTGTATTTTAGACATCACGTTGATTCTTTGTATAGGCTATTGACTAAATACCATATACTTCAAGGAATGCAAAATAAAAAAATCCACACAAATATCAACTTCAAATTGTCAATCTAAAGACAAAATTATGTTTCAGCATAGCAACGCTAAATTTAATATAACTATTCCGAACACATTTTTATAAATACATGTAACATTCTGATATTATATAAAAAAACCACTCCTTTGTCTTCAATCAGTATTAAAGAATGAACATTCACTTCCAGCATCTGGTATGGATGCAATTATAAGAAAAAAGACTGAAAGTATAAAACCTAACAGGAAGAAATTCCAAACATTATAAGTCAGTGATCAGTATATATAGGACTCACTTTAAACATTTATTCTCTGTTCAGGTAAAAAAACTACAATATGAACCATAACTCAGAGGAACCTCTGATGCTCTTTTAATGAGAGATAATGCCACAAAGAAAAATGTCATCTAACCATAAGGTCAGGGTGATAGAATCATTCCTAATCTACAAGTCACAAGCTATGGCCAAAATCTTTAAAAGAAATCTTTATACATGCATACTGCCTAAGTAGACATGTAAACATGGGACCACTCAGACACAAAGTTCAGCACATGCAGAAATATGCTGATTACTGAGATCAATTTAAAAACAAAAAGGAAGTTTCAAATGTTGTTTAATATTGTTTTTAAATTCTTATTCTTATACCAGTAATTTTTAGGAAATAGAATAAAGTTAATGATTATCTCTAATATTATTAATTCACACCAGTTCTCAATTCACAGATGTACCTGTATTACACAGATGCAGTACTCTTAAAATTAAAAACTTTTACAGACATAATTCTACTAGCCCATCACTCAAACTCCCACTAAAATCAATACTGAATTCGAAAATCTTAAAACTTTTCTGAAAAATGTGAATGGAAAAAAAGTACTGGCAGACTTTAAATGAGTGCATGCCTGCATGTGCCACTTTCTTTTCACCAGTATTCTATTCTGTATAATTTTGGTATACTTCCAAATTACAAAGATGCATAGCTGGTACACAAGCAACAAATAAAAGCCACATCAAAAGCAAAGGATATGTGCAGAAATATATATTATACTTTTTTTTTTTTTAAATGCTTACATCTCCTTTCTACAATACATTTTCCTGACCTTTTTTCTGTTAAGGAAGGCAACCAAAGCAAGCTTGCATGTGTTCAAACTCACCATAATATTCTCTTGAGAGTGAAACTTATTTTTCTTTGATTTCTTTGTGTCTGTTAGGCCAGCATGACGTCTGAAGATCTCCTCAAAGCGGACTTTGGTTTTTGCCTTTGCCTCACTTTCAACTGCAAAAACAAATCTAGAGTATGACTCACTAGCTCAGTAATGACCATTGCTAAAAAAGTACGTAATCATGCTTTAAAATTGCAAAGGACAAGAAGTATTTTATCAGGGAAAGTCTACCAAGAAATTCACTTACTATTCAGTTAAGAATTTCCACTGACAACATAAACCACATAAGGGTAACTCAGCAACATTGTACAAACACACTAGGCTACTACTTGTTGCTGAAGTCGGCATTGCCTACTCTGTTCCCTGAAGAAAGCGCATTTTGAAGAGCAAACACATCAGGATCAGCACAAAACTTGTGCTAGCCAAAGCAGAGGACAAATTATTGCCTTCACTTTTTATGAACAGTAGCACACTGATAACGGAGGTGACAGTCTCCAGGAGAAGCTGCAACTCTGGGTTCTTACTGAGTTTGGAACCCAGAGGAGCACCACCTTGAGACAGATCTGTAAAGAGGCAGGAGCATGCACTGATCCAAAATCAGCTGGAGCTGAGAGTCCCTACCCTTCCGTGAATCGTGATACTGCTATCAGCAGCATTTTAACCCTTGAAGCAGTAGGTGTTCTAGCCCCCCTGAGGTAATGCCTAATTTGTAGCTAAAGAATTAAAAATGCATCTGGCATGCCACTGAAAAAGGCTGTTGAATCCTCAGCTACAGCATATTTACCATTGTCATTACAATTTTTACAAAAAAAATTTATACAAAAATTTTACAAAAAATTTATAGACAGAAGTAACTCCTATCATTTGCATCTATTTCTGACTATAAAATACATATTGAAAATCAAACACAAAGTATTCTTACCTGCTGGCATTTTCAGTCCTCAGTTAAAAGTGGCTCAACACAGCAGCTGCTTCTTCCTTAGAATTCACCATGCTATTTAAAGTAATTTACAACTTTCATTAAAATAACTGGTCCATAGACTTGAAGCTAACAATTGAATGCATGCTAATTTATATCAAGGATGAGTACAGGTCTTTTAAGGAAATATTTATTTCTAGACTATTTGTCTAAATTACTAGAAGTTCTCTGCCATCAAATCTCAGCACAGGATTCTCAGCGTCTGTCTGATACTTGTTATTTGAAAGTAAATAAAAACCAACACTACAACAGTTTAATTAGCTATGTATTTCTGGGCAATAGCCAAATACTTCAGTACAGTAGTCCTCCAGCCTTCTAAAAAACCCTGTAGTTTATTTAAGTAATAATGACCCCTGAAGACATTTATATTGAAGCTTTCCTAATCAGGCTTCTATCCTGACAGCATCATCAAGGAAGTCACATCGTAGCCCGCCGATAGCTTTCAATGCAAAGATTAATATCTGCCAGCAAATCTAACTTTATCACAAATCTCTAAATATTTATGTTTACATAAAGTATTTGTATTTTACATAAAGCAGACAAGCAATTACATGAAACTCATTTCTCAAAAGAAAAAATGTTAGGCCCTCCCAGTTGTGGAGCAAAGCCTACAAGTGCTTGAAGGCAAATAAAGGCAAATAAAATATTACACAGCTTTATCTTTTAATCAAGAAAATTCAGAATCCTTTACAAAATCTTTAATACAAAAAGCTGTTTTGTAAACAGTGGAACTAATGAAACCTAGATTTCTATGAATGTGTTCTGTTCCCCTTAGCAATGAACTATCATCGTACCTATCTCTCCGATAGCCCATCAGCCAATAGCTCCAAGTTCTCCCCAGGTAACACCTCCTGTTAGACACCACTAACTCACATTCACTGGACACCCAGGCTACATATATCCTAATAAATTAAGATGCAGCATTAAATACTGCCAGGCTATATGGTTGCATTATCCTTGGCACCATTTTGGTCCAAGCCACCTAACACTCACCCAAGCAATTCCCCTGTACAGTTTAGGAGTTAGTATGGATTATTATTAATAGGCAGTTTTTATGCGGCCATTCTGATTTTGGGCTAAGAGAGTTTAATAGCATTAAAGTGGGCCAAACATACCGCTTGGCCACGCATCTTACCAGTATAAGGAAAGAGCCAAGGCTACACTTAGGTCCTCAAGCATCTGCACTACCGTACGCTCAGATCCCCCTCATCTCTTTCACAATGTTACTTGCTTCTCCCCTGTCCCCCACAGGCTACATACTCTCAGGTCCTTTCATATTTGCTACCTACAATAGCAACCAGTTTGGTCAGCTGGCTAGCCAAACCAAACCAAGTTAATAAAAAAAAAAAAGTCAATGTGTTAGGGTTGGTTTGGGCTTACAGAAGTGCTGATTAGTCAGTTGCTAGGTGCCATTAGTTTATTTCATGTATTAAGCAAAGCATTTATACTAAGTATCCAACAATCTAGGGATGTTTGAAATGAGCAAGGATGACCAGAAGGGACTTCATAAGAAGAAAAAAAATTGTTTTGTTCTTTATTGTGTCACTGACAAGGTAGCAATATTTTCACTAACTAAAATGTTTTGACTTATAAAGCAAAGCTTTACTGTCACAACTAAAACAGCAAGTTAAAAATAACACTTCTGACAAGAAATGAAGACAGAAAATATTACTGAAAAATAAATCTGCTTTTGCAATTTATACTTCAGTATACCAAAAGGCTGTTTTAAAAGTACTACAGTTATTAAGTACTGCTTTTCAAGTAGTCAATTCACAACTGGCTAGAAAATACTTATAATCTGAAAGAGTAGAAAACTAAATATAGTTATAAAATACAGCAGATTCTATCACCTTAATCATTCACTGAGGATTGCAGGAACATGGAAAAGCCTCTTATGATTAGTTGAGTGATTTCAACCACCCCTCAGAAAAACTAGTTACAAACAACAAATGAAATGCTTAAGTGCTCTCAAATTTAAAATAAAAAATGAGACACAACATAGAACACAACAGCAAAATAAGTCAACTGCATACCTGTTCCAAGTACGGAAATAATTTTATGGTCAAAGGTTAAATAAATCACACCACAAAAAAGAAAAAAAGTAAATTAATTTTGCAGATGCTTTTGCTTATAATGGAACAAACATCTTTCCAAAAGCTAGGCTTACCTCATGTCTACCAGCACTCTGTAAAATGCCTAGATTTGCCAAACTCACCAGTGAGTGCATCATTTTCTATTTACCTTTATTTATTCAATAAAAGTCTATCCTCTTGTGGCAAAAAAATTAAGAGATAAAGTCCTCTAATGATAGTGCTATTATTTTATACACATTTCCAATTTAGAATTACATGACCTTTGGCATGGTGCATTAGACTTGTGTAAATATAGATCATTAATCAACAAGGGTAAGAAAAAGGCTCTTTACTCCGTCTAATCTCCCCTTAAAATAGGAAAGGTTTAATGGTATATCAAAGTTCAGCAATCACAGTGTCCCAATCTGAATAAACTCAGTTATCATTACAATTAATCTTGTAAGATGCTTTTTTGCCTGATCAGATTTGATCTCTTCCATATTAGTTAATGTAAGGCAATCCAGGAATAACAAAAGTACATACTTGGAACAGTGGCATATTCCAGCCGGTTAAAATAATGAAGCTCAAAGTTCCAAGAATTACTACATACCTTCCTGAAAATCATCTAATTTGCTCTTCTCTAATTCTCCATCTGTATTTACAAACGTGATTCTACATTAAATTCTTGCTCTTTTCACAGTATTTTACAATAGTCACTGAGTTGCTATATTCTGCATCCATAATATAGGAACTCTCTATTTAAAACATGCCACAAAGCCCACTATTCACGAAAAACACTTTTATTGATTGCTAAAAAAAAAACCAACATAAAAAAATCAAACCTATACTATAACGTAACAGAGCGTACAGAATCTGCACTACACAGCGGGAAGTGACAAATTTCCTGCCTAATTAGGACCATTTAGGAAACTGAGATGACAAAATAGAACTGCACACTTCAGGGTTTTCATGAACTAAACCCCTCATTTTTCTTTTATCACAAAAAGTGAATGTAACCTTCAGTGGCTGAAAACAAGGAGAACATCAGGCCTCGTTTACTTCTCATCTTTTAGATGAGATCAGTCATCATAGTGGGAAATCTTGGGTTTTCCTAGGTTTCTAATTCAGCTATCTGTAGGTATCACTACTTCGAGATCTGAAAAAACTTCAACTCTGAATTATACAGCAAAATAACACCGCGTTGAATCTGTTCGTCTTCACTAATGATAAATGAGACACCAAAAGCCAACCTGGTTTTGTTCATGAAAAGGCAGTAGCTTTCTGCCAGCTTAGATGTGCCTGTAAAAACCTTGCACTCACACTAATTTTAAAAGATGTTTAAAAAAAGCTGGTGCTACCCATCTGAGTTTTCTAATAGTAACGTATTTAGCTTCAGAGTAACTGCCGGGTTTTTTTCCTCAGAACATTTGGCACCTTTTGTTGGTCAGCAGAAGGTTGAAAACTCTCTCTCTGCCCTGAAGGCAAAACTATGGACTTCAGTTCTGTATCAGGAAATACGGCGGACTTTTATTGTTTACCACAGTTTAAGACTCTGCCTTATCTTAGATCGCAATTACGAAAACGGGTTCTCATCAATAGACCACCCTAAGTATTTGATGTCCGAAGCGGCGGTCCGCCTTCCGTAGAGGAATACGTTGTAGACAACGAAGATACAAAGGACGTTCCTAGCACACGCCACAGCTGGACTAACCGATGGAATTAACCGCCTTCGACGTGCAGATGCACATTCCTCACGCGAGCGAGGCAGCACCGCTTTGGGGCTTAACACGTCAGGCACGGAGGAGCACTGTACCTTCACGTGCCGCGGGGTACGCGCTGACCACACTGCCTCACCTGAGGGAGCTACAAAGCTTGTACCCACCGGGCAAACAACAGAAATACTGATCAAGGAGCCGCGGCTTCACCCGGCGCTGCTTCGCGCCACCGCGCTGCACCGCGACCAGGAGGCGGCAGACACGGGGGGGCCTCCCCACGCCGCCCCCGCTGCCAGCCCCCGGCCTCACTCTCGGCAATCCCTCGAGGTGCGGGGCCCAACTCCCGCTACAGCCCCGAGGGCGCCCGCGCATCCCCGGGCCCTGGGCAGGGCTG